CAGCGAGAGTCATTTGGACGTTAAATGAGGAGTCGGCTGTGATAAATGCACTTCTCAGCGTCCTCATTTAAAATGAAATGGGATCACACACCCAGACTCTAAAAGTTAGTAGCAAAAAAAAAAAAAAAAAAACTGTTCCTAAACGAAATCCACATGGCTCCTAAGGAGAATGATAGAACCCTAAATCCTGGGCAATCATGCACCAGGAAGACTCTGAGTCTATGACTCCAGAGAGCCCTCTTGGGATACAGGCAGAAACATCAGATACCATGTCACAGCTAAGCTGTATCATTATGCTGTTCTGTTTATGCAAATGAGTTTTGTTGTTGTGATTTAACCAGCAATTTCTTTTAAAATGTTGTGACTACTTATATTCAACTTTAAGAAACACGAGTCTTTTACTAAGATGCAGGATAGCAATCCCTCAGAAAAATGGAGAAAGCATTGCTCTGTGCTGTGATGGCATCCGTGATGATGACATCTGTAGATGATGCCCACGGTGCCTCTAACGGCTGCTCTCTGGAAGACTCCGTTAATTTTTCCAACATGATCAAATATCCATAAACAACAAGGAAATACACAGTACATATAGACCTGAAAATATGCATTTATTTTTCTGAGATCAGCACCCTACTGATTTGTGAACACAGAAATAAATAATTGTAGGTAGAGACAAGGGAAATAAGGAGTCCAAGGTAATCCTTAGATACACAGAACATTTGAGGCCATCCTGGGTTACAGAAAGCCCAAGAGACAGACAGACACACAGACACACAGACACACAGACACACACACACACACACACAGAGAGAGAGAGAGAGAGAGAGAGAGAGAGAGAAAGAGAGAGATCATTGTAAACACCAGGGGTAATTTTTCCTTCACTATCTAATAAGCAACTGTAAGATAAACTACATCACAATGCTTTGACATGGGCCAGGAACCGAATTGCAAAGTGAATGCTTTAAGGGTGTTTTAAAAATGTTATAAACTAAGTCTGAGGATAACTCATGATACAGAAAGTCATGCCTTCTCTGACTTCTCTGTCACCTACGAGTCCTGGCTCCAGAACAGAGTCTGTTGTCTCTACAGATGCACAGGTCCTGTCTGACAGCAGAGATATGAGAGAGATTGGCAGCAACTGTTTCAAATCCTTCTTTGTCTTGTATACCTTCCAGTGATCACATCTAAAAAAAAATAATTTTTTCTCTTTTAGATACTTTTCTACTCTCACCTTTATAAAATTACAGAATTCACCTCATTTAGTTACCATGTCGTTGGCTAGTAGCTTCTCTAAGCTGCCCTTTTAAAATACCAGGGCAGTTACAGTGGCACATGCCTAGAACTACAGCACTGGGGAGGCTAAGACAGGATTATCACACATTGGAGGCCACCCTGGGAAACAGAGGAAGACCCTGCTGAAACGAAACAAACAAATAAACAAAAGGAGAAAACCCTAAAGTAAAATGCGCATGAAAGAGGGAGAGTTGTCAGCGTGAGCTATGGGTGTGTGTCCAGAGCTCCGCCTGCACGCTCTCGTCTCATTCTCATCATACTCTCGTCGGGGCTCTCGTCTCCCCACCTATTTTATCCGGTATAAAAAACAAGGTTTGAATTTCTTATATCTGCTGAGACCACCTGGTTTGCAGCCTGATTCTCTCCTGCCTGGACAGGGGAAAGGTGAAGTTCGGTGCCCTATTTCAGTGGTGCACAACCCCATCTGAAACTATTCTGTTAATTTATTTTGTAAAACCCTAAAAGGGGAAACGTCTTAAGAAATGGCTGTTTCATGGGTGGATATTAGACAGGCTGTGGATCTCAAAAGCCACGACTTGATGTGCTCAGGATGTAACAGGAAAACACGAATTCGCGGCAAATCCTTCCTCTGAGCCTTCCTGTATTTATAACAAGAACACTCCAAAACCAGCATGTCCTGAACTGATCTGTTGAAAATACACCATGTAATACAGTCGGACTTCTCCCAGGCTGCCTTTTCCTAGTAGGTTCATTGGCAGTGAAAGCTATGAAGGCATAAACTTGGCCGCCACCTCCAAGTGCCCACATGGCCCTGGAACGTCACTACGCTCATTATATGCATTTATCGTGCATGAGTTCACAGCTGTCCAAATCTACCCTGAGTCTCCAGTCAGGAAGAAGTAGTGATAGGAACACTGCTAATGTGACATGACTGTGAACAACACAGAATGACATGGCCGGAGGTGATGGCCATTCTCCATCGCTTGCCACTTATCTTAATGGCAGCGCATCCCTGCCCAGGAAGTCACAGACAGAAGAGCCAAGAAGAATTTGTGAACCTGTATAGACCACAAACACCGTCTAAGTCACTCTCACACTGACTTGTACCACAAGGGCCACACTGGGAGTCGGTAGTCTAGCTCGAGATCATGGCCAGGCAGACATCTCCCCAGAGTCAGATGCCATTCACAAATACAAAGCAGGGAGCTAGCTGGACAGGAATGAAGAAAGTCATTTGGGGCTAGTGGCGTACAGCTCAATAGGAAAGTTCTTGTCTAGAATATATAAAACCCTGGGTTGGTTCTGCAAAACAGAGCAATAATATATATCATCCAAGTTGGCATTTTCCCCTTTCAGATGGAAAGACAATGCGTGCAAGCACTCACACCCGCGTGCAAGCACTCATACCCGCATGTGTTCACATGCAGAGACACATAGAAATGTCACTACGGCAGGGAAATCCTAAGACCAGGGTACAGAGCAAATAAATGTCAGTAAACCAAACACACCTTCATGGTGCTTAAGCAATCTTCTCAAACACCCATTCCCCATTTCTAACCCTTAAGCACAAAGACTCAGCAGGTTTTTTAAAGTAATTTATTGGCTTTATATTCAAAGCGAGTTCTCTGTGAAGTTTCAGATTTGGCAGCAAACACAAAGGACAATGGTGAACAGTACATGGGTATCTGAGATACAGGGAGTTCTCAGTCTCCTTTCCTGTGCTCCACCCAAACGGTCGGTCCACTGTTTCCCAGATGATATCTTGGTTGACCTAGAAGATATCAAATAAGTGCTTGACAAGTGAACAAATTGTGTGCTCTTGGTTAAACAAGAATAACTGCTTATCTTCTATAGAAGGCATTTTCTATGTGCAAACTGAAAAATTTTACCCACAATCATAGACAAATTGTCTTTTCAAAATTAAGAGCAAACTTCACATAAATTAATCATTCTTAGGGGTTAAAAAGTCCATTCTATGATTCCAGGAATTTTATTACCATTTCAGCTCCATGCATAGAAACAATGCAAGTAGAGCCTTCTCAAAGGAACTCAGAATGAAACGCCAGTGTGTGCTGTCTGTGCTGGGTGCTAGAGGCACAGGTCGCCAGGAAGACAATGTGGACCATCTGTTGTGGGCATTCAGACTACAACAAAGAGTATTTCTCTTAACACTTCCCATTCCACAGCCATAGTCATGGTCACTCTATAGACATACTCAAAATTCCAAGACCAGGGCTACCCTGAATGTTAAATCCCATGGTGGTAATCTGGGATAGGACAGGGTTTCTCTATAGGCCAAAGAAGGATTTTTTTTCTCCTTAAAAAAAAAAATCATAGTTTTTTTTTCCTTAGGAGAGAGATAAAAGCAAAAGACATAAAGCAATGAGTTTAAAGTAGATTTTTCTTTCTAAAACAATGTGCTAGGTCAATGAGATTTGGTTCTAAGTAAATAAAAATCTGAAAAGGATATACATTAACAAAAAGTTATTGAATTTCTTTTTTCATTTTTTGATTATTATTTCCTTTCTCAACAAATGATGTAAAACTCTGGGCAGATTTCCAAAATAATTAAAGCACAGAATATTTTTGTGAGATGAAAAGAAGAAAAGGGAAAAACAGAGAGAGGGAAGAAGAATAAAGATCATTTAAAAAGTAGAAAGAAAGTTTAAAAATAACAATACTAAAATAGGAACTCTAGAAGAGCCAAGATCTGAACTAAGTATGGCTTTAATCCTTTTCCACCAGGCCCTAGCCTTGGCAGGTCTCTGCTAAAATGCAGGAGTTGCATGGATGTGGAAGCCGGTGATGGAAAATGCATTATTATACACAATTGTTGTACTTGAGAGAAACTATACGGAGGAAAAAAATAACACCCTAGAATAAATACAAATGAAATTCATGTATCAAAACCAATACTGTGAAAATAGTTTAAATGTTTCTTGAATTTATATCTAGTCATTAACCTAAATGCAGATTTTAGTTCATGCCACCCTTCTGCCTCATGGTCAGAAGGCCTGAAAACCTGTGGTGTGGAAAATTGGCAGGATAAAGAATATTGAATTGGTCTCCATGGAAAAACAGAATTTGGCAGCCATAACCTCTTCCCTGTGCTGGTCTGTCTCCCACTTCTGTTTATTCCTTCCTGCTAAACCTTTGTCCCAGGGAAGAGGCCACACAGTAGGAAAAGCTAGAAGCAACTGTCAGCCTGATCATTCACCAGTGGCTTTGAATCTCTCCTCAACATAAGACCAAGTGTCCCAGCACTATGAGGTCACAGAAGCTGGCCTTTCACTGATTTTGGTTGCTTCTAACCTCAAAAAGGGAACTGAGGTGAGAAACCTGCCTTACCCAAAAGACCCTGAAGAAACTGTGATTCCCTCGTGGAGATGAAAAACCCATACCTAAATCCCGTGGGCATCAATTTCCTCCGCCCATCCTGCTTCACTAGCGTGATAAGTTCAAGGAAGGCTGACATTTCCTTGGAATTTTCATTAGGGATCTCCCCCAGATTCAGGTTAAATCCCTCCTAGGTGTACCTCAGCTGAGGCTCCACGTAGTAGCCAGTATTGGTTGACAAAGTCCAGCCCCTACCCTGTTCCTGGCCCCTGAGTCAGACGGAATCGCTTACTGGGACCCTGCAGTGGGCTCGGGGCTCTTTGCATGAGCAAGCTGGAGGGAGTGTTGTGTCGCTATGTGGTTACCCTGCCTCGTGGTGGTTTTCACCCTAATCTTTTCTTTCTTTGCAGCTGGTTAATAATCCTCTAGCAAGTCAGGCCGCCGCTGCTGCAGCAGCCATGGGCTCCCTAGCAAGCTCACAGGCCTTTGGCAATGCCGTCTCCAGCCTTCAGGGGGTCACAGGTCAACTAGTTACTAATGCACAAGGACAGGTGAGTGGGAGACGGGAGCAAGAGTGAATTTTTATGGCAGATTGAACTCAGAAAGGAAATGGATTTCTTTTGCATGACAGTGATATGTAGCTGCATCTATTTGAGGCAAATAAATAATGTTTACTAGCAATGTCAAGAATAGGAGAGGGGTGGGAAAGTGTTTCTATATTTCAGAAGCAGGATTTTTCTTTCTTCCCCCTAAAATGTCAAGGTTTTATTTTGTTTTTGTTTTGTGTGATGACTAGTGTTATGACCTGAGTTAAAGAATTCCTTTCTCGTTTTTGGAACTTTCTTGGAAATAAACCATCAAAAATTGAATTTTGGAAAGGAAACCTTGCTTTGCTTTTTTTTTTAATTTTCCACTTTTAACAACTCTGATGTAATGAGTTGCTGGTTACTCTGATGTGCCTCAACTAACCTCGGTAAATCCAAGGTATGCATGTCTGGAGAATCAGTGCTAAGTCCTACTCAAGACACAGAAGAAAAGGGGCATTTGATGCCAGCTGCCAGTCAGCCCCTAGCACTCTCACTGATTTTTCAGGGGCTCAGGAGGTCTCTTGCATGCCTGTTGATTATCTCTAACGTGTCAGGTCCTCTAAGCCCTCCCCCATATCACAGGAGAGCACCCATTCTCCAGTAAGGTTTGCGTGTCCGTGTCATGTTCACCGAGGTGACATATGATAGAGTTTCAGTGATCAGTAACCCTGGAGGTTACAGAAAACAGCAGAACAGAGTCGAAGCTGATGATGTCACGGTGCCCTCCAATGGAAAGCCAAAGTCCAGCCTCGGTCCTTAGTGACATCAGTTTTCCAGGGTGGCCAATATGATTACAGAGAGAACAATGTTTCTTTACTCAGCAGTGTGTTTACATAGCTCCCTGCTACAGTTGCACTGCAAAACCAGGAATCGCAACACCTTAAACTCTTTTTTTAAAAAATTTTCTTAAAGCATAAGCAAATATGCATTATAAGCGAAACCATCCTCATCTACAGCCCAAAGGAAGAAAAAGCTGACCTTGTTATATTTCCTGGGCGGGTGTAGGATTGTCCCATCAGAGACCCGAGGGCTGAACGATGGAGCTTGTCAAAGAGAGGCCCCATGTAATGAATCATCTTATCACAGGTGCACACCACACATATTAAAGGAGGGTTGTATGAACACTGTGCCCTCTATAGTAACCTTTCAATGTCTGCTTTAACCCTTGCTCCAATTCCTTTTCATCAAAGGATCATTTTATGCAGCCAGCTTTAAATTGAAACTCTCAAAAGCATATTAAGATTTCTGGAGGGGGTGTGGGTATTGGGGTGGAGGAAAAGTTGGTTTTAATATCTATAACTCATAAGTACTCCAGGCCCATGCTGGAAGCAGCTTCCTAGAGCTATGCCCAGAAATAAAGCAACATTAAGATGTAAATTTTAGGAGCTGAAGATCAAAACCAAATCTGTGTGCAGATAGGCATTTCCCATAACTTTTCTGTTCCAAGTGCAGGTGAAGTAGACTATGCCCCACATGGAGAAATCCTTTATTGAAAGGAACCACTGTGTCTTACTTTTCAAATGCTTTGGTGGTTTGTTAGCCACTTCTGTCACTCTATTCTCTAGAATCTCTCTCTCAGCCCACAAGAATCCCAATTTGAAGACTCACAAGGTAGTGTAGACACTGAACCAGAGTTCATTTTAGTCTTTTTTATTATTATTTTACAAGTTGTATAAGGATGGTTTATTCGTATTTATGGTAAACATAGTTCCTAAGGGGAACATCTACTACCATAAAAGGGGCCAAACGTCATTTGAGACTTGTGTTTCTTTGTCCTGTGTTAACGTGACACAAAAGGGACGAATATATGGAACCATGTTGCCACAATTTGCCTTGCTTGACACACCCTGCCACCTAGGGTTACCACACTGTTTATTTTTAATTTCTTAAAGTCTCTGTAGAGGTTTCCCAGCAGATGTGAAGAAAAACCTCCTTGACTATTTAGAAACATTTTTATTGGAGTTCTTGACACTGACTCTTTATTGTATTTGGAAATTTATGTAAGAATAATGGCATGAATGTGTAAACCTATGTTTGAGAAGCAGGGCTGATTGATGGTTTGAAAAAAGGTTCGTTCCACACGGAAACCTTGAAGCAGGGGCACTGTCACCCAAATGTATATCCCTGTCCTCACTCCCTAAGATCCTTTCTGCATCCTTTAAACAAAAAACAGAATTGTAAGACACCTAAATGAGCCTTCAGGCCAACTCAGGAGGGTTTAAGTACCAGTTCTCTCTAGTTTTCTGAGCTTCAAACAAAGGCTTAGCTTACTCAAGCCTCCCCTTAACCTTGGAGACATCTGCTGCAGGCCACATGCATGGCTGCCGAATCAGTCTCTGAATTTCCTTCAGACTCTTGGCCTTCAGGTCACAACAACAAGAAATCTCACCACCTGGGTCTTGCTATTTTACTTGCCTGCCTTGGAAACCATGTTTTCCAGAAACTAGATCCCAGTAAGGGTATAGATGGCATATCTGGGTGTGTTGAAGAATGAGCTTTTCTGTCATTCTACTTTCCCCAGACTCTAGTCATAGCAAATAGAGAAATTTTTTCCTTCATTTACTTACTTTTTTTACTTTGCCCTCTCATAACTGTTAATTGAAAGGGCAGACAGTAGTAACGAGATTTGACAATTTAACAGACACGGCAAGGCAAGAAGGTAGTCAGTGCCCCCTGGTAACAGTCGTTGGCACTGGCTGTGGCACTGCTGAGAACATTAGGGCTCACTTTTCATCCTGGATCAGAGACTTGTGCAAGAGAAAAAGGAATAAGTAGTAGGGTGAGGGATTTAATTCCAGACACATTCTGAACAAATTCCTTGAGCCCTTCCCGCATCAGTTTTCCTAACTCCACTATAAAAACTGAGTGAACCCTGGACTAGAAAGATAGCTCATCAGTAGAGTACTGGCCACGCAGGCGTGAGGACCTGAGTCTACTCTCTAGGATTTACATCTAATCCGGGCATGACAGCACAGCTTTGTAGTCCCAGCACTGGAGAAAGGGAGACCTGAGGATCCCTGGCTTGCTTACTGGTCAGCCTAGCCTAATCAGTGACCCCTGGGTCCTAGTGAGATAGTTTGTCTCGGAAAGCAAGTAGACGGCTCCTGAAGAATGACACCCAAGGTTGACGTGTGGTTTGTGCTCAAACACACACACACACACATACACACACCACATGCACATAATCTAAATCCGTAGGTTATGAAAATTAAATGAGATTGTGTCTTAAAAATACCACCTAAGAGTTTACGAACACAACTAAGATTCAATAAACAATGCCACACTCATCATCATCATCATCATCAACATCATAATTCATGCTGTTGTTTGGATATGCAGCGAGAGACAGTAGTATGATATAGAGACAAACAGAAAGAGATCTAAGGCAAGGCTGCCATTCACCAGCCAAGAGACCTTGGTTGGCCTCTTTATTCACTTTGTGCCATGATTTCTCTTCTGAAAAGCGGGGAAATACTGACACCATTTCACTAGATTAAAATGCTTAGAATGAGGTCAGTCATATGTATCTCAGAGCTACCAGTCCATAAATGCTAATCAAGATGAACGTGAATCAAAACGAACATTTTCCTTTGGTGTGTAGATGAAGGTTTTGAGAACGTGTGAGTCTCAACAGTGGGACGCTAAGTCATCTCCAAACAGTGCGCCAGAGGGTGGAGAGTGCATGTACCCGTGTGTGCCCCTAATAGTGTTTGAGGAATTGGCAAGTAGATTTACCATCCATTTGTTCAGCTACACAACTGCTCCCCTTGTGTCCTTGGCAATATCTCCTTATTGGCGTTATTACAGAAAAGTAAAAGCAAATGAGATTTTATTTTATCCTGGGGTTAAGGAAAGCATTTTACATTTTAGTGGAAGCTCATGACTGTTTGCTGATGAAATCAAATCCTCTGCCACTGTGGTAGGCTGCTTTCACCCACCTTTATACTTTAAAGAGCCAAGTATATAAGACACAAAAGTGCCTAAACAAAGTTACTTTTTTTAAAACAGGGTTACCTCTGCCCCAGTCTCCCAAGTGCTTAGATGACAGGTGTATGTCATCACACTTTATGACCTTTTCCCCATCGATTTTTTAAAAAGAACAGGAATGGTAAAGACACAGACCCACACAGGTTATTCAGAAACAAACAAGCTTTTATACGACTGAAGGACAGAGACAAAGCCCGCGGTGTGATAAAACAGGAATCACTGTGATGATGTGGGCTAACGGCTGCCTCCTAATGACCATGAGTGGCAGACTATCGTTTCAGGCATGAAGGGTAACCCTCAGCTTCATTTCAAGCCCCATGGTAGGTGGGGGAGGCGAGAATATCTCTGAAAGTGCACTTTAGACACCAGCAGGAAGTCTCCCCACAGTTTAGCTCTCCAAAGAGGGAACTGAAGAATCACTCTCCGTGAAAGGTCCTCCGGATTATGATCGTGAACCGAGGAACATCTCCAGGGCAGTAGTGAATAAAAAACCCAAGTTCTTGTTGAAACACAAACATTCCTATTTACTAACAGAGTGGCTTCATATAGGTTATATAACTTTTCTGGGGCTCTTTTCCAACAGTAAATGAGAAAATAGGCATTTAATAAATTACAGCTATTCCTTTTAAGATCAAAACCCCACAACTGACCCTATATAGGTCACTTAAATGAATATCAATAGACAATTTAAATGGAAAGATGAGACTCCTTAAGATAAGCTCACTGTCGGATGACCTGAGATGAAATTATAATAAATGCTAATATCAATCACAAGATTGAGAGATAATTAATTTGATAGTTGTCTCTTGAGTCTCTCCAGGGGTCTCATTAGGTCTGTTTAATGCACTTACAAAGCCATAATCTCACTATCTATAAAACAGTTTTCCAACCCTGCAGAAAAGGAGGAAATAGTGTGTGGCTCTGATTGTGAATAAAGCTAGGGGCCCCCGAGACCCAGGCAAGCAGGCAATGGAGAA